TCAAAACTACTTTCCTACCATCTGCTTTCACCAACTTAAGTGTTTCGTAGGATATCGGCACGACCAGAGGCATCAGGTTTTGTTTAACAAAAATCTTCCAAAAATTCATCTGCTTTATGAAAACAAACATTATTCATCAAATGATTCCTGTAATGATGTATCAAACTTTACCATTTAAATAGTATACAAACAAAAATAAATACATTCCAGCATAACAGAATGCGTGAGAAGAAAAAGCAAAAATGTATAACACATAATCAAGAAGTGCTATGAGCTTAGAACATTGTAGGAACTCCTAGTGACTCACAGGAAAGGAATTCTGGATTAATAGCTAACATTCAAGCTCCGATTTATTAAGAAAAAACAAATTCACTGAAGTATTTGCATTCAAACTTCAATTCCTACCATATGAAACAAAAAAGAGGGCCTCTCAAATGACATCATTCTGTTAAGCTTTAGCATTTCAACTTCAGTCTAATTCCATTGGTAATTTCTTCGAAACTTATTTCATTCACTGTCTAGGCAGAAATACAAACGGATGCCATAAAAGTTACCATATACCACCAAAATTGCAAAGATGAAGACACAGCTTCAAGTTTTATTAGCATTCCACTCAAGTAAAATGCAAACATCTTAAAACACTTGAGACTTGGAAATATGAAAAATGTCTAAAAGTTCAATTCTCTGTTAGCTGATTCAACATTTCTTGGATGTGTCAAGTTCAATGCAAATGCATGAATCTTTAGGAGAAGTACAGATGGACTAACTAGCACATAAAATAAGTATAAGCGATAACCTTGATTATCTAATATCAACTAACCTTCAAAGGGTCCGTAGAATGTGTTCCGCTCATTGTACTGTGGATTCAGGGAAACCAATGCAGGAATCTTATCAAAGTCATACAATACCATGAGATCCTCTGAAAAGTCCTTTGCCACAGAAAACCATGCATTTTTCTTGTACTTTATGCCAAACTTTTCTATTATCGTGTTTTTCAAACCGAAACCTATAAAAATGGGGAAAAAAGGTCCAGCTTCTGCAACGAATGTATTCACGGCAGAATCTGAATCAAGAATGGAAACATCAGAAGCAGCAAACTTCTTCAGATATCTAACGAGTAAATCTGCCTTCCTTGGTCCACGGTATTCGGTGGGGATGATGCCATGATTTAAACAGCAAAATGGTTGGTATGCTTCTACAAACCAGAATAGAAGTATGGGAGTTATTCATGAAATAAAAGCATTTGTCTCCTTAATTGCGAACCAAAAAAGTACACGTATATATCATAGTTATTAAGAAACAAAGAAAGTTTAAGGCAAGCCATATAACGGTATGGCCGCAGAAACATACTTCACATCATATTTTTTTGCAAGGCTGGTATGTTTGTCTGCATCTACTTTTGCAATGACAATGGGTTTGTTCAAGGTTGCAAGTACGGCGCAGCTGCATCTAACTGCAAGGAAGAGAAAAGCACAGCTATTATCTCACACAAACAACAACAAAGACTTATCCCACTGGGAAGGTATTCAAAATAAGTGCAACATAAAATGACACTCGTTAATCTCTCGTCGAGCAAAACTAAACATGAAGTGCAAGCCATTATAAACTCACATCACAAATCAGTTTTATCTCAGAGACCTTTGACAAAGTTCACACCTAATAGAAACAAGAAGCACTGCCGCAACATGTGAAACCAATGCTCATCAAGCAAACCACTCAAGAAAAAAAAACGAGCATCATGTTTGAGATGCACTGTCCAACCAACATCAAAACAAGGAGCCCTAACAACACACAAGAAACTATAAAACCATGAGTGAAGTTCATTCCCACACATTAAATAAGGAGTGAAACCCACAAAATTTTGCAATTTCCGGTAGATTTCAATCAACATCAGAGTGTTAGAAACAGTAGTTCAGAGGGTGTTCTGCTAGCATTTCTCTTATCAAGACACATATGCCGTTACATGAACCATTGTTGAAGATGAAGATGAAGAAAGATCAAGAGAATTGACTAAGTTATTGAAGGCTGCTGCATCTGCTAATCGTGACTTAGTATTTGGTTATGTTGGAGTCAAACAGATGGAAGAATTTGCTGAGCAGTTTGATATTAGTACTAAACTACCAAAAATGGTGGTTTGGGATAAAAGTGATGATTACCTTTCAGTAAGTCTATGGTCTTTACTTTTAAATGTTATTTTAGTATATCCAAATTCCAATTCTCTAAATGATCTGTAGCATGGACTTTCCTTGTCTTGTACTCTTATTTACATGCCTAGTTTTAAGTTTTTCTTCTCGTGCTGATACTATTCTCTTGCATGTTTTGATTGTTTTAGTAATTTGAACCTATATTTATATACTTGTGTATTTTCAAGATGAGTTGTGAAGCTGGAGAAAACATTGAATCTAAAATAGAAGAGCGAATTGAGACTACCTGTTGTTAAATACCCGGAACTTAATATCCCAATGTTAATTTGGCTTAAAATTTATTTCATTTATAACTGGGATACACTAGAACAAGATTATGGATTGCCTGTAGTCATGTATCACACATTCCTACAAACCCAGCATTTCAAAACTAGTGTCCTAAAAATATGGGGTGTCTTGCTTTTTTGGTTAGGATTTGTGAGCATACTAAATGCCCCTGTTTACTGCTGTAAATATGTCTCTCCTTTGATCATCAGATATTTCACCTGAATGCCTTGACCTAGCCAATATTGGTTCTTCATTTAAGGTTGATGGTGTTGATGACATTTTCCATACTTCTACTATCTGTTTTTTAAAAAGATAAGGACTCAAACCTATTTGGGTAAGTGATTGTTGTAAAATTTGTGAAAATATGGTAAGTAGGTAACTCATACCTATTTGGGATGTTGAAGTGTATCAACCTTGTTATATGTTCATAATGGGTTTTAACACCATTTTGGGGCAAGTGATTGTTGGAAAATTTGTTCAAATGAATAAAATATTTTCTCCACATCTTGTCTTTCTTCCTCTCTAGATTTTTGTACATGTGATACATTTCTTTCAGTAAAGAAATCAATCTCACTCGCACTTCGCACTCACACATACAGATAACTGGAAAAAAAGTGTCTGTATATTGCTCTGGTAAACAAGATTACACTGTACACGTCCCGAAACAAACAAGGGAACACTTTCCCTTCACAGGATACAAGATCCTGACTGTACACAAAGAATTCACAAAAGCTCCCCTGACACAAGACCTTCCTGCATTTTTATAAAGGCCCTCCAACCAACTAACTAACTACCTACTAATTCCTAATCTGTTTCCTTCTGTCCTGCACACACTATATCCTATCAACTTGTCTTAGGGGAAATGTTCCGTTTATACTGTCAAAGGGAGCTTTTATTGAATCTCAATGTACTAGTTCTCACCGTTATGTTTTAGTCACTTCAGTTGCTTTTAAAAAATCTTTTACATGATGTATGTCTTCTAGATAAACTATGACCTGTGCTCCTCAGTCATAAAGAATTGAAAGGCATTATTTGTCTATGATATATTTTCAATGTCATTGTTTCATTTGGAATTTCAGATACATCTTTCCACCTTTAAATTAATGCACTTGATTAGTTTACTAGACTTCCATAGTTTTGATCTTGCTATCAAAGCTTAACTATCTTGGTAACATGAATTATTTGTTGATATCATGGTCATATAGATTTCAATCTGCTGATTTTGTGTTCATTTGTATTTAATGCCATTGTTTTTAAATGATTTTCAGGTTGTTGATTCAGAAAGTATTGAGGGGGAGGATCAGGCATCTCAAATCACTAAATTTCTGGAAGGATACAGGGAAGGAAGAACCATAAACAAAACATTCAGTGGACCTTCGCTGATGCAATTCATTCATCGGTCTTTTGACATTAGAATGGTATACATAATTGTTTTTGTTGTGGCATTACTGATACTTATTCAGAGCTTCAGTAAAGGAGGTGATGAGTACCATGCTGTACCAAATCAAGTTCAAGTTGATCGTGCAAGCAGTTCTGTTTCAGAAGCTGAAATCAAAGAGTATAAACCAGGTGACAAGGAAGACTAAATTAGCATGTAGAATGATAATCGGTGCACGTGAGCTTCTAGAAACTAGCACCATACCTATTGGTATGTGTAAATATTAATGAGTGTTAATCTCCATATTTTTTTAGTGCTGTTCAGACTGTTGCCTTTTTCTTTTACACTTTTTCATTTTGTTAACATGAACCAAAAATGCCTATTTATTACATTAAACATGACAATGATGTGTTAGCTTTGTTATTACTTTCATCCTTCCTAGATATTAGTATTTATGCTCTTCATTTCACATTAATTTTACTTGAAAATTAATATATATATCCTTCTTTTTGTTCCTTCTTTCTAACCAAACATTTTCCTAACCCAATATCACTGTTCTTCCAATTTCAAATTCTAATCTTCCCAATAATAGACCAGCAATATAACCAACTTCATGTAACGAAATCGCATCACCATCCACCACCAATATGCAAAAAGAATGGCAAAATACCATTCTTTATTTTATGAGAGATGATAAACCCTTCAAGTCTCCTAGTTGATTTTTTTTATCACTTTTCAGTTCCATGTTTTCTTTTTGAAAGCTTCACTTGACATTTGCAATCATCACAAGGATTGAAATAAAAGACGAGGAAGAGTTAAAGTGAGAGATCAAACTTTTATGTCCTAAGATTTTACCACGGATCATACTTTTCTGTTTTCAACATTCAAATCATGTTTGTGTTAGAAATAGAAAACAATACACATAAAATTTATTTTCAATTTCTATAATAAAGAAAACGGTGTTCTTCACATGGTTCCGGATAGATGTTCTCCCAATAAAATATTTACGAGTAACTTGTTTTTGGTGCAATAATTAAAATTTGTAATTGATCCATTAAAATATTTAAGTTAATTAAATATCTTAATGCTAAAATTAAGAACATGTGATTCATCCACAAATTTTCTTTTATATTAATTTCTGAAATACCCAGTTTCTGTTTTAAGTTTCCTTAACTCGCTGAATTTTGTCCTGTTTTAAGTTTCCTTAAATCGCTGAATTTTGTCAAGGAGATTGAAAAGCAAAAGTCATACTCCAAAATAAAAATATAGTTATATCTTATTATCATTTAGTGTAAGAACGAAATAAAACACTGAGAAAACATAAAGGTAAACAATCTTGTAAACACCTGAAAATTAACACAAACTCTCTCTTATTTTATTTTATTTTTGGAGAGTATACAAGTTATTTTTAATTATTTTCCTTTTATAATTTTCTATGGAGTAACTTAGGATACATTTAAGTTAAAAAAACATAAATTTAGTTGCTTAGTTGATCTTGTGATTGAGTAAATTTTACTCTTAGTTCTTACTCAAAAATAAATTTAATTCTTAATATCTTTTAGTTTCTCTACGTTTTTAAGTAAAGAAAACAGAAAGAAATTAAGATAAAATATCAAACAGATAAAAAAAATTAAGAAAATCATACTGAATTAGATTTTAAAATTGTTAAAAATAATAATATTTAACCAAGACTCTAACTAAAATGTTATAAACAAGTCTTTAATATAATTAATATTTTTAAGGACTCAATAAGATTTGATAGTATTTAATTAAAATTTTGTATAACTTAGAAAATAAATATCATAATTTTGAATAAATAGATGAATATTCATCTTTAAAATTGTTGGATACTGAATACCGTAATTTTGAGTCGGTTATTTAAATTCAAATTAGATGTTAACACAGAAAAAGTACACGAGGACATAAAAAAATAAAAGTAGTTAGTTGTAAAAAAATTGTAAAATTATATTAAGTTTGTCTTTTTATCAAAACAATATTACTTATTTTATAATTACTTAGTCAATAAATACAAGAAATAGTAAATATCAGAATTACAAAAATATTAATTAATACTTTTATATCTATTGATAAATGATGAGAATTACACATCAATATGTGTATAATAATACACCTAAGACGAGCGGTTATCATCTATATCATCGTTCTATTCACTGAGTGATAAACGCTAACATTCGTCATCAAATAGCGATCGTTCTATCTGTTGATTTAGACGCGCTCGTCAACTCAGATCAAACATGCCTCGTGCACGTTATGATCGCTCTATCCACTGGTTTAGAAGCGCTCAGTCAAGATAAACGATGTTGGATTATGACTCAACATTTAAGTAAGTAGACCGATAATTCACTAGAAGTTGAAATAGTAAAAAAAGATCCGATTAAAAATATGAATGATGTGAATTATGAACAACTAATCGGATTTTAAGATAAACTGTTTAAGGTAAGTCTGTTAAATATTTTATTAAGAATAAATAAAAGAAAGAGCGGAAAGTCCACTATTGAAACTGAAAAATAACTTATTGTGATAAAATCATTTTTCTCCAGAGTCGAAGAAGGAGCATGGACGACTTTCAGAAAAGAAGACAAGCGACGTCAATCAAGGAAGAAGCCAGCGTCCTAAACATTTAAAAGTAGCTAAGAGACACCAGCAAGATCAAAATCCTGACCCGAATATACCGAAACAATATGTAATAGAAAACCAATGATGAACTACATGGTACTTTGTTTTTCCCATCCTCGAATATTCCAGTCTATGAATACTTTAAACTGTTACTAGTTTACAAATAAATAAATAAATATTTGAGATTGGAGTGGACTGATTTAGAGAATAACAGAGAGTCTGGGGACTAAATTTTGACTATACGATAATATTAATAAGTTTTTGACACTACACAATTTTTTATTTGCTAAAAGATAATAATACGAAAGCGATAACTAAGAGTATCAAACTTTAATATCTGATTGCATGATTCAATTTTTATTTTGATTATACATGTCTCTTTTTCTTTAGGTAACTTTATAATTTAAATTTTGTATACCTAATAAGAAATTCTGTTAAGAAAATTACCGCTATTATATATGTTGTAGAACATTTTGGGTTTAAGGAGAAAGATCACTCATAAAATATTATTATTTATTGTTTATTCTGATATAACAAACAAACAACAATTTGCAAAGTTTAGAATATTTTTAATTTTTCAGTGCGTTATTTATTTATTTATTTATTTATTTATGTATTTCCAGTATAATATTAGTATTGATTAGTTTTTAGAATATCTTCTGCTATTAAATTTCCATTTTGCTGTCATAACAATATTATTAGCGAACAGATTGAAATCGAAAAAGAGTATAACAGACAGCATCGAGGAAAAGAGGATCAGAACTTTCAGTTTTTATTTTTTCTGGAGATGGAAGCTGATGTTTCCATTATTTTTTATGCGTTTTCCAAACCCTAAATTGCAAAAATCCCAATTTATTATTCTCTATCTTTCCCTCGGATGATTTCCAACCAAAAATCTGTGTTTTTTTTCTTAACGGATCTTTTGCTCTGATGGGTACGTTGAATCTACTCTTGTTCTTCTCTTTGGTGAGTCTGTGTGCTATGGCTGCTGCAAAGGTGGTGCTTATTGGGAACAATATTACTGTGTCCTTCGATGATATTGAAGCTAATTTTGGTGAGTTTTCTAGGCTATTTCTTCTACCAGGTTAGGATTTAGTTTGTATAAACTGTTCTGATCGAGGGAGGATGTAGTTTTGGTCTTTGCGCCGTATGAGTATTGAAAATTTCAATTTGGGTGATGAGTACTGCTTTGGGGTAGCTTTGTCAGGGGGAAACTAGTTAAACTTTTCGATCTAGGATCATGAAGGCAAGCTTGTCGAGCTAGGAATTTAGTTCTGCTGGAACTTTTTGTCATGTTAGAAATTTAAAATACCATCTGAAGGAAAGGGGGGGGGGGGGGG